GCCGGAGATCAGATCGGCAGCCCAGCTGAAGAAGCTTAGCGATGCCTGAAGGCTCTGCCTTCGCTCCGCCGCTCGCGCTCGGCCGCTAGGAAGCTTCGAAATGCACCGCTGAGCCGACCGATCTGGGCGACCTGGACACGGGCGGCAAATGTCGCTGGACGAACTGCAATCCATCCAGGGGACTGACGCGATGCGTCTCCTACAAGTGCCTTTGCCTGGCGGGCTACAGGGCCCACGAAGGCAAATGCATCCCCAAAGAGGGCATGCGCGACTTGGCAGCGGAGCGAGCGAGCGAGCGAGCGTGCTTGGCAGCGAGCTTGGCATGGATGTTGTCGCCAAGTTTCTACACAACGTGCCTGGCGATTGAATGGCGCACACACACACACAAAACGTGCTAGACAATGTGCAGAAAGTGTTTTCTACCAAACGTGGATGAATGAATCTGAATCAATGTCATTAATATACTCTTGACATGCCTAGGACCTAGGATTCCTGATATTCGCCCACGATTGGTTCGTCAGGAATCGCATTGAAGCACTCCCGATTTCAAACATTTTGGGAATGGTGATGGGGGTAGACATCCTGCCAAATGGACAGTCCAACCAACGCGGCATCACCCTTTAAGATGGACTGTTTGGGCCGGGACGTTGGACTGTCCACCCTTATTTAAGTCAGGTTCGATGGGCCATCCACCGGAGCGGATTTCATGTGCTGCCACCGGAGCGACCGGGTAGTCGTGTGACCAACCTGCAAACCTAAAGAACCAGAAACAAACTGTTTGTTCCAATGTGGCTTCCTTGAGATCCTTCAAGAAGTGGTTGGGACTGGGGGAAACATCCACTTGAATCTGGTTGAGACTGCGTTTCCAGGAAGGGTAGGCCTTGAAGGGGAGAACTCTTGCGGGTGACCTGCCGATACCGATCTCGACGGCGACCGCATGTTCAGCCCAAGCTTTTGGTCTCATGGAACATGAACGGAGACCTGAAAAACCCTGAAACACCAAGTCGCAAAGGTTTGGGTTCATGCGCCCAAGTGCATAGGAAGATGACCAGGGTCACCAGGGTGATGTTCTCACGTTCTTTTTCCTCCTGCGGACCTTCCAAATCATGCCAACTTGGCCACTGACCACGCGAGTCTCGACGCGACGACCACGCGCCGAGAGGAGCGGGCCTTTTCCGTTTGCCTTCTGCCTCGACCTGAGGCCAAACGCCGGAGACGGGCATCGCCTGCGGTTCGCCGAGCATCAACGACCTGTGCTGGAAGGCCGTGGACTGGGCGAGACTTGGTCGACAGGCAAAACCGCCGGACGTCCGAACACCTCGGTGAAGACCGGGTTTTCCGGTCGAAGCGGTTGGACGGGTGGGAACCGTTGGTGGAAGTAGGTGGAACTGGAAGGTCACACTTCAAACAGATCGACAGGCGAAGCACTGCAGCTCAAGAATTCGATGGAGGTTCCAATTTCCCTATTTTCCCTGGGATTTGATCCAACATCCAGTTGATGTGACCCGGCACAGTTCGTGTGCCGAACTGCGGCGGAACATCCCTTTCCAAGACCGAGGAAGAACCGACAGGGACAGCACTTCTGAGAGCAGGAAGTCCATTTCGTCATGGAAAATGTGACAAACATGGACAAACCGAATCCGACTTGAGCAGGTCTCCAGAAGATTCCATTCCCCCCAGGTTCGGCCCACTTTGCGCAGGATGGTTGCAGAGTGAGAGTGAACCAAGCACACTGCCAAGACATGACAGCCCACCTTGAAACCTTTAGAGGCAGGAACCATTTGATGGAAGATGAAGTGAGAGATCCCAACAAATACATAAGACAGAAGACATAGCGTGTTGAAGTGATCTGCCACTCAAACCGACCGTTCCAAAACACCTCTTCCGCCCTGTTGTTGTCTGAACGAAGGCCGAAGGACCTCCCGGGACTCGCGGACTCGCCGCGGGACTCGCGGACTCGGCGGCGGGGACCCGAGGATGTACGATGGGATCTATGCCGACCCGAAGGAATATCCGGGCCTTCACGCAGGCCCGGAAGGTCTCAGCTTACTGGACCTACTTTCAGGATCTTTCGCTATTGGGGTGGGAGCTGTGGGGAGCTCTTTGATCCAAAGAGGGGCGCGAAGTCAGATTTGAGTCGTTTTTTGTTGTTTTACGGTTTGGGGGACCCTCTCAGGGTTTGGCCACGAGCTAGCTAGTATAAATCGCTTGCTTTCCCACACCTGGTCAGCTCGCTCGCATGGACTCAGTACTGTACTCGCTCGGCTTGGGCGGCCAGGCGCGAGCAGCTTTGATGAGTTCCAGCTCCTTGGCTTGGCAGATTGGTCTCCCAGTGGCCGAAGGTTACCGATCTACCATGTGCCCTAGAAGTCCAGTTCGACGATATTTTGACCGGAAGTAAAGGAAGTTCCCGAACTCAGGTCCCCGTTCGTCAGACCATTCTTTTGGGTAGTCTGACCGACTCCCAGGGGTGTGGCATACGAACGCCACCGGGTCACTGGGATGGATTCTTGGGGCCATAAACACTGATTCTCAGAGCAAACCGTTTGACTCCAACTGGAGTTCCCCGTCACTGGAGTCCCAGTATAGACGACTCCCCACGACGGGTGCGTCACGACGGGTGCCCAAGAAGATCGCTTTTGCCATGGTTCCCTCATTTGCAACGTCAGCGAGAAGGCGGAGAATTGGTGTGCCACGTCGGCGTCGGCACGAAGGTCACTGCGTTCCACGTGTGTTTTCGAGTCATGTTCCCTGAAGCTGGGTGTTCCCCGTCACTGGTCGACATCACTTGAAGCAAACTCGAGTGACCTCAGTGGGACTGGAGAAGATGGTGGGACCAATTCCCTCTTTGAAGTAGCAAGAAGCAGGTTCCTGCACCGAGATCGCCTTAGTTGACGCTGTCCACCGATGTTCACGAGCGGTTCAGACGGTGGGCTTTGTGTGCACAGGTGTCAACAGCGGTCGTTGAAGCGAGAGGCTCTGTTCGGTTCAGCTGGAGTGTAGGACCAATGACACCCTGGAAACATCAACATGATCACCTGAAAACCAGTGGGTTGGTCATCGAACCATCGTCTTCCAAGGGCCAATTCTCGGGTTTCATGGGTTCGTCTGCCGGGGAGTAAATTCAACTAAGGAGAAGTGGGACCGATTCATCCCACTTGCCAGTTCCTTCCACGGAATCTGGCAGATTCCCTGTTTTCACCTTGGTGGGGGTTCATTTGACTAGTGACTAGTGACTAGTGCACCCCTTGAAGATCCCGCCACGAGAAGGAACACGAGACCAGATCTTTTTTGATGGCAAACAATTCTGAAATGCTTTTCAAGGATCTCCTAGACCTCCAAGACAATTTAAAACATGGTTGACCTGGTTTTGTAGTGCAACATCCTTAGTAAAGCAGTGGTTGTTATGTAAAGTCCCTTGAACAAAAACAAAAAAGGAGTCCTTTGCTGCCGAACCGCCGAATTAGGTTGTTCATCAACAAGATTGACCCTGTCACCTGCCCGAAGCCTTGCCCCACGATGTACGAGACCTTCTCCTCTCCTCGACTGCTGGATCCATCGTACCATCCTGTCAAAGGTGCGAGGACCCGGGAGGACCTGGGATGAGCGGGAGGACCGGACGCTTAGGACAGTGGTCGTGCCCTCTGGTTGGGTCCACTCTGGGCATCCGTTTTTTTCAGGGCGCGCAAGCGCGCCTTCTCGATGATGCGAACATGTGGATATGCGAACCTGCCCTGGCCCACGCAGTCCGCGTGCCGCAACTGACGGGTTAAGCTCGTTCCTTTGCGTCCTTTGAGCGTAAGTGTAGACATCCTCGCGCCTTGCCATTGTCATAGAGATTGACAACTTTGCAGACATCATGACCCAAGGAAAACACAGGCCCGAAGACTGGCATCGACCCCAGGGTCGATGAATACCGACTGGTCTCTTCCTCGGCGGATTTTGGCGTTCCATGGAGTTGAGTTGGGGGGATCTAAGGTGGTATTCTTGTAGTCTGAACCATCTCTGAACATGAGACCAAGTGTCAGTGAGGATTCAGTCACATCCCAAAGTCCATGTACTAAACATACTTACTCTGCTGTTTTAGTCTTTAGCCCTGATAAAGTCACTCTCTTTTCTAGTGACATGCCTGGACCAAAAGAACAAGAGGATTTCCGTGAGGGATTGGTGGGAGACATGTCTCTTTCTCGACCTTCGTTTCAGGGAGATTTGTCTCGTTGTACACACGAGACAGGCTATGTACAGACTTGTGACGAGTGGAATAGACGGTCTGTTCACAGAGACGGTCTGTCCGCAGAAACTGCAGAAAGACGAAACATAGTCCGCAAATGGAAAATACTTTCGGACGTTCCTCCTCCGTCAGATCTTCCACAACCCAGACGGGACGTCCGTCTCATTTCGTCAACGATGGGGATCCTTCCACACCGCCGGTGTGGGGCCACCACACCTGAGACGGCCGAGCGAAAATCCGCCGGTGGGACAGCGGACACAGCGGACTCGGGTGCAGCCCCGAGACGCCACGGCGAGGGCAGAGCAGCGTGGTAGGACGATGGGTAGGTCAAAGAGGGAGACCTCCCAGGCAACGATGGAGGGGAAATGGACCAGTCTACCAGGGGTCTCCGGGGTCTCCCTTTTCAAACACACACCCGGCCTTGGAGGCCATTGCAGGCTCAAAACAAAAGAACCGGTTCAGAACGGTCTGCTCGATCGTTTGCTACGAACTTCTAAGGCCATCGCAGGCTCGACCCAAAACACACCCAGCATCCCGAACGAAGCCGCACACCACCAGGTCCGCTCGACATGTGTGCTCCAACCGGTCGGTTTGGCATCCCCGCTTTTCGGCCCGCTGGCCGCCCCGCCCGGGGTTTCGGACGTGTTTGACCATGTACCTGGAAGATTAACCTCTACTTGTGAGCTTCCATTGGGCACTGCACTCCCCTCAGCTCAGTTGTGTCCAGTTTTGTTGAACGTTGACAGGTTGATGGTCAACCACTTGTCGTCACTTGTCGGTTTTCGATGGAACTGGATGCCCGGGTTTGCAACTGCGGCCGCCACTAGCACTAGCCTGTTTGTAGTGCTGCATTTGTGAAGTGCTGCATGTAACTCCCTACTGGCGCATTCGTTTAGGAGAGCCACCCATTGGAATATATACTAAAATGGTATAGTGAATACATATAACATATATGTAATATGTATATATAATATTACATATTACTACATAATATCTTAAGAATAAAGAGGAACTCCAAGTCAGGGAACAGAAGGGATCTGTAGAACACTGCAACGCAATTCGTTGGCAATCAGTTGTTTCATTGAAAAGCTTGTATTCCGAAACTACGAATCTGTTCCCAACTCAGAGGTTTAGGCAAAAAAGGCCACGAACTCGACGTGTGAGCAATTTTTGCTTGCTAGGCACTAGCCACTAAGGCAGCAGCCACTGATGAGCTGGGGACACTAGGGGTGCATACTTTGCTGGATGCAGCTTTTGTATGAAAGCGGTGTTGCTTCCAAATTGAACGGCTCTGTTTCTTGCACGTTTCCCTTTCTGGAGAGGAAGCCACATGAGAAGGCTGAGTCTGTGGACGCCAGCCCCCCCATAAGCGTGTTCTCTATGGTCTTCAGAGTTTGCGACTGTCGGAGGGGGGACCCGGAACAGCTCAATAATAAAGGACACTGAAGGGAGCCCGGCGGGCTGTCTGTAATCAGCTCTTGCTGTCCAGCAGCAGCCATCACCTACTTTCGTTGCAGGCAGTCAGTAAGATACTTGAGCCGACTTGTTTGGGTCATACTTTGGTTGAGGCGTCTCCTATGGGCCAGCGCCTGTGAAGAAGCCTGGGTCACCGCTCAACAACGACGACTTCATGGCCGATATCACTGGGGCGATGTGGGCGGATTGGGGTCGAGGGGACTTGCAGCTGATCAAGGATATGGGAGGCAACACGATCCGTATGTATGGTACCTCGGCACCGTAAGAGTTGTTCGAAAAATTGAGGATGGAGAAACGCACAGGTGAGGCCAGGTGATCTTTCCACACTTAGGCCATCCTTTCTTTTTTAGCGCCATCTATGTTTTTGATGCGTGATGATGCGTCTAGACTAGACTTTTGGAAGATTCTGATTTCCACCTGTAACCCTTTGCTCCTTAGGCAATGGGCCTTGTTCAGTTCTTTTTCACCTATCTCCGTTGAAGGACAGTCCACCCTGCTGCAATAGGTTGACAGGTTTTCCAAGAGAAGATTCGATGCACTTTTATGTAGGTGGGGAGTCCATCGCAACCCGCGAAACTCGCGACTTTCCACCGCGGCGAGGTAATGATGCCAATACCAGCCATCGGTCATTCTTGGACCTCGCGTACAAGAAGGGGATCGACGTCATTGCAGGACACTTGCTGGCCGTGGTTTTTTTGGACCATGGCTGGTGGTTTAGGAACGTTTAAAATTTCTTTCCTTTCCAAATGGTTTTGCACATCAAACATGCAGATAGACACTGCGCTGCACAGGGCATGGCGGCATGGTTGACAAGAGAGCGATGCACATATGAGGTATCACGGGTTGGAACCTGCTTGCTTCTCTTTCAACACAGATGTTGATGAATCACATGAAATGGCAAGGCGTTGCGGGGACCACAGAAGAACACAGACATTTTTCTGAGATTTGCATGGGAGAATCTGATGCGCCATGTCCAGCAGCAATGTCACATGTTTGGGCAACGGATTTGCCTTGTGGAGCCAAATTGCACCTTTCTTGCCCAGGAATGAGCGACTTTGGCTTCACTCAGGGTCCCGACAACTGCTTGATCAACGATTGGACCACGCCCCAGCTGTGAAGTTTTTGGTGGAACTTTCAGCCATCATCGAATAGGTACTGAACCATCGGTCATGTTGCTGGAACTGAGGTACTGCTTCGATGAGGCATATTTCTTTTACCACAAAAACTTGCTGATGGGATTTGCTATCGACGACTTTAAGCGTGACTTGCTTCGCCATGAATGGCTTCAAGCTGTGAGAGGCTGACCATGGATCATAAAGCCCTCCCGCTTTTCAGAAGAGACAAGCCTACCTGCTTGGGTTAAAGATCACGTACAAGTTGTTGAGACATGATGTTTGGTTCAGCACCAAGGCCAAAGAAAAGTAGCTACAACGCCTCCTCAAAACGAAGACGCCGTCTCTCCTCAAAGACGCTGCCCCCTCATTGTGATCCCAGGTCTCCTTCTCCTTGCCTCCACTCTCCTTCCTCGGCCGAACTCGAAACGACGACCATTCCGAGGCGCCCGGAGCCACCGGAGAGTCGATTTTTCTGCCACGCCCGAGGTTACCATCCGGCGCTCAAGGCGTTGATCTTGGCGAATGAACCGGACCTCAAGGTGGCCTGGGAGCTGTGGGCGTGGGAGGCCATCGCTAGTAGATTGGAGGCCATCGCTATTAGTTTCAAGGGAGACTTCCGAAGATCAGGAGATGGAGAAAGTGAGGCCAGCTGTGCAAGCTGACACCAGCTCCCTTTACCGCAACACCGCGCCTCCGTCAAGAAAACACCCTCTTTGGGCCCACTCACCACACATCCGTCTTTCAACCCCCCTCCGGGCCGAATGAACCACGGCCGTTCCTCCCGGGTCGGACCTTTCGGGTCGCACCAGGTGCATCCGCGCTCGTTGACCTGCCGGGCCATGGCCTCGGTCTTCGACGCCATCCTCCAAGCGGCGGCTCGGCGCGGGTGGGAAGCGCGGAGGTGGTTGGTGGTTGCGGAGTGAAGAGGGAAAGTGAATTGGGCATCTTGAATGGGCGGAGTGATGAGGTTAGAGGATTTAAGGGGGCTCTTTCTCTACTGTTGGGGCCACCCGGTGGCCTGATGTCCTTCAATGCCTTCCGGAGAAATGTGGAAGCTAAAAGGAGACGAATCGTCTCAGCCCCCCGGTGAATCCACACCAGGAAACCCCCAATGTCATCGGGGGGCTGAATCGCAGGGCACCGCTTTGCTGGCTTCAGATTGTCACTGAGATAGCCCGACCTTTAAGATACAGGTCTGGTGGCCAGATGGTGGGATACGCTTGCAATACCATTATGTCAAAAAGCTAAAGGGAATGGATGTGCAAAAGATTGGGTGGAGTTGGTCGTGCCGAGGAAAAAGATGTGGGAGTCACTGGAAACCCGATTGCGCTCACAATCACGTGGTCATTTGCCCTCTTTCCCGATGCGCAGGCCAGGAGCTTAAGACTTCTCACAGCCACTTGAGTCAATGGTGTGAATACGTAGACTTTTCTTGTTTCCATTTGTTTGCTATTTTTTTGACTGCGACATATGGTCAACTCTTTGAATGATCTTGGAAGAGCAGCTCGGTACTTTTATAGTGACCTTTGTTGTGTGGTTACATACCATTACACTCCCCAGTCAGGGTTCAAACTTGAGAAGACTGGGGCGATGTTTCATTTGTTGGGGCGAGGGCAATTCCGGTGCTTTGGAGTTTCCGAACGGAAAGCAACGACAGACAGGATTGTGTAGCATTAGCATTCTCAAGAGCTCCACAATCCTTCACAGCCAGGATGATTCGCACATTGACAGATTCGCACTTTGACAGAGAACCGTGATATTTTTTCAAAACACTTGAACTGCATTGGTGTGTGACCATTGGTGTGAGTCACAGGTACACCCCAACGCACCTGCTTTGGGACAGATGGAAGAGCCCGGGGGCTCAGAGGGGCATCCAAGAGTTTGGAACAGTCGCAGTTCAGAGAGTTCAGGAGCGTTTGAGATCTGGAAAAACATGTGTATATATATATATATAGCTACGGACACTGACTTAGAACCCTAAGTTTTTTCCAATCAAAAATCCCACACTTAGAACCTCTGGAAATCTGACACTTAGAACCTCTGGAAATCTGGCACTTAGAACCTTTTGGTGCTTATGCCAAAACGCACACTTAGAACCTGGTAGACAATGAACGTCAATGACCAAATATCATGATATTGACATTCTTTAGATTCACAGTGGCCTTGGTGCAGCATCACACTTAGAACCTGCCTCCTTAAAATGACAACAGAGGTTATGATGCTTCTTGATGAAAAGCTCAGCATGCATTGAACGCTGATGATTCAATCCTGGGCAACCCTTGAAGCTTCCATCTACATAGTTACTATAGGCTATCATTGCAGCTATGACAAACCAGCTACAGTCTAATAGTCCACGCCTTGATGCAGCATCACACTTAGAACCTGCCTCCTTAAGATGACAACAGACAGGTTATGATGCTTATCTAATTTTTTTCTTAAATTAACGATACAACTTATTACTCTTACTGTTATTTGTTTCTTTATTGTTATCACACGGCTGCTAATCTGCCGCCTTCTTCTTTTCAGCATACAAAACAGGGCTTCAGATGTATACAGAGTGAACTCATGCTGTACTTCAAACCACATGCTCGTGCTTCGATTTCGGCTCTCCCCTCGCAAGTCCACTTGTGACCTTCGGATCGAGCAGCACGGAGCATCTCAAAAGAACGACTCAAGCCCTCTGTGTGTGGTTCGGGTGACTTCGCCAAAAACCAAGAGGTGTTCTAAAAAGCAAGGCTCAGATTGCACGGCCACAAACCAGCATTCCCCGTTTCGAATGCAGGTGGCCCTAAGGAAAATGAAGCCTGCGAAACAACAGCACTCTCAGACTCCCACCCTCTTCGAGCTTGGTGCTCAACGAGCTCTTGTTGAAGCTGGGCGCAAAGAAAAGAAAAGGCTCACTCCCTTCCATTGGCCCCGGAGATAGCACATCGCCCTGCTTCCGCGCCGATTGTCGACACGAACGAAGGTTCCTCCACTTTCAAAGACCCCAATGGTGACAACCCCTGCAGAAATGCCATCACTCGGTGGTGGAGCAGAGACTTCGGTGTCAAAGAGCTTTTTGCGCCACGTGTCATGACGGTGCATCTGCACCGCCAGCATGCCATTGGAGACCTCCTGATCGAAGGTCATGATCGATCCTCGAGCGGATGGATTTTGAAGCTCTTGGATCAAAGCTGTTGGAAACATCCAGCTGTAACTGGCCAGCTCCTGGGTCTTCGATCGCGACAGGAACTGTTCCATAGGTGCACCTTCTCGTGCCCAAAAGATCCCATCGAAGAAGACGTGGGTTGGAGGTGGAGGCAGCTCTGACATAGCACTTCCCCCTCGATCACCTTCACGAAGTCCCCCAGAGAATTCTTCCTCACGGCTGTCCGCCATGGAACAGGTTTCACTTCTCACATGCCTTACGGCCACTCGGTGCTTTCAAAGCCAGCTTCTCCGCGACTTGTAGGAATCAGGGAAGTCGACTGTGCAATACCCACTTTGGTGAACTTCTCCAGGATCAACTGACCCACACGATCACCTGGGTTGATGGAGAGGACCTCTGAACTATTGTTCATCAAGATGACTTTCACCTCACCTCGAAAATCTGGATCAATCACCCCTCCGGCCACATCTATTCCTCTAGCGGCAAATGAACTCCTGGAGGCAATCCGACCATAGCACCCGGTTGGTAGCTCCAGAGCGATGCCAAGAGGAACCAATTTGCGTTCTCCTGGAGGAATATCCAGTGCCACCGCCGATGCCAAATCCCAGCCCGCCGCCTCTGTGGTTCCCCGGACTGGCATAGTGGCCTGATCATCAAGAATCTTCACCTTCAAGACCTCCTCCTTTGACAGAAGCCTTTTGGCAACACCCCACCCCACATCCTTGATGACATGGAGGAGACAGACCAAGCCAGCTAAGAATACCAACCACGCCGAGTCACTCCATAAACCACCTCCAGAGGCTTCAGGCTGAGGCGAAGCTTCACAAGTTTCCGTTGCCTGAGAGACCGGAAGCAAAGAGGCACCAGCTGCAAGCAAAGAAACAGACTTGACAATCTTGATGACCTCAGGAGCTCGGTTTGCAATAGCCCTGAATGGCACCTCGGTCGTCGTGGTAGGATCTCGCAACCCCACTCCTTCACAGAAGCGAGCAAGAGATTGAGCAGGTAGAGCCTTCGTCAGTGCATCTGCCCAAAGATGTGAGCCTGGCCTGTGATCAAGGGTCACCTCCTTCAGCCGAATCGCCTCAGCTAGTGTGCCCGCTCTGATTCTCAGATGTCTAGTCCTCCAGCCTCCACCTGCCCCCGACGCCAGAATGATCGCTGCCCGATTGTCATTGAAGAGCTCCAACTGTACTCCATCAGTCACCAGCGACACCAGGGCCTTGACAGACCGACCAGCTTGAAGACCTTCAACCAGAGCTGTCAGCTCTGCTTCAGCGGTGGACAACGACATCAAAGTCTGTTTGTGACTTTCCCATTGAATCGGTGCCCCGGCAAAGAGCACCACAATGCCCGTGATGCTGTGGCTATCACTTGGCCCAAACGATGCGTCAACCAAAACTTCAACTGTGCTGGACAGTCTTGGCCTCTTGCGCTGCAGCTCCGATGCTGAATCCACTGGGACCTCGGTGGAGTAGTGCAAGCCAAAGTTCATAGATTGCCTCAAGTAGGCCACGACCGCCTCTCCAAGTTCCACTGCCCAGCGAGGCTTCTTCACGGCAGTTTGTGCCATTCGCATGACTGCCCACGCAATGTCTGGTCGGGTTTTCCCCGATAGCCAAAGCAGCTCACCAGTGATCTTCTGGGCTTCTTTCACCTTCGGGAGAGAAGCGGGTTCATCCTCCCCCCTCTCCTCCGGAACCTTGATGAAGGATGTGGAGACTCCCCCAGGATGACGGTCAATGACCTCTCGAACATAGGAACCCTGGTGCAGGAAGTAAGAGCCGTCCTCAAGCCTCTGAATCTCCATGCCCAAAAACCTCATTGAGGAACCATTGATCTCGGCAAACTCGGGCGGAGAGGTTGACCAGGATTTTTGCACAGTCTGAGAGGCTGCTTCCATAATCTTCCTGGAGCCCACCATGAGGATGTCATCGACATACACAATCATGTGGCCTAGAACCTGTCCCCATCTCTTTTCACCTTCACCATTGCTTGGCAGAAGTTCTTGAATGGCCCACAGATTTGGGTCCTCCATTGGACGAAAGGAGAACTTTCTACTCCCCCAGACCTTGCCACCCTCCTCCTCGATCTCATAGGAACCAATCATCTTCTGCAACTCCGTGTCGCGGAAAGAGCTCCAATCTTTTGGAGAGGTGACCAACCCATACATTGCTGAGGTGATGAGCCAGTGCTCCCCTGGCTGTGCCAACCCAGCTTCTTCAAGGATGCGGGGAGGTTTAACGATCACGGTCTCCCCCTGAGCTTTGGGCGCAAGCAAGAAAGCAGACTTCACATCCAGAGAGAGACAATCCCACTGCTGAAGTGCTGCCAAGCGAAGGACTGCTCGGAGTTGAGGGGAGTCTGCGCCGGAAGCGTAGACCTCATCACCGGCCCGCGCTTCCATGTAGTTCCCACAGCAAACAATGCGAGAGCGTCTACGACCATCGCCGGCTTTCCTGGTGAATACCCCCATGCCCGGGATGAGCTCCGCACGTTCCCCCTTCTTCTCCGCCTCCTCAAGAATTGCGTGCGTTTGAGCTTCTGTGATCCGCTGGATGGCTTGGTTGTTGTCAAAGTTGTCAATCTCCGTCTTTAAAGAAGGAATCCACAAAGGGAGGGACCTTCTCACTTCATTGAGGCTCACAGTTCGGGTCTGCAGAAAGACTTCTTCCTCCTCCCCTGCCACCTGAACGGCCTCAGCAGGGAGCCGCTTGCAAGACATAGTCCCGGCCAAGACCATGGATTCAATCTTGAGGTTCTCCTGGTCGAGATCATAGATCTGCGCGACAAAGCCGCCATCTTCAGCCACCTGAGTCTCCATTCGACTGAATTCTTCATTTGCCCAAGCTTGTCCCCGAAGAAGACGTGCTTGTAGTTCATGAACCGAGAGAGAAGAATCCTCAGAAAGTCGTCGGGATGGCTTCACCGTCCCATCCAAGATACTGGCTGGGTCTGAGCGCTCCTTGACCTCGATGATATCCTTGAGCGAAGGAGGATCTTCGGCCTGGACCAGATCATCAGTTCTCACGTACTTGCCCGGCTCGATCTCGACCACATGCCCCCCACTCGTGAGGCTCATTTCCGGATCTGGACCTCGGACAACTCCCTGCCTCTTTCTCAACCTCCAGTGGCCTTCCAACGCCCTCAGCTGCTGTCTACCACGGCGCTCACCCACATGCTTCGCCATGAGAGGCCATAGATCTTCTCCTTCACCTGACGACCTGATGAGAGTGTTGATGGATCTTCGGATCACCCCGACCTCCGCCTCCGCCCGGCCGTTCGCCTTCCAGTCACTACCGCTGGTGAAGGTCCTATAGATGCCCCGCTCCTCACACCATCTCCGGGTGCCCAGCATTTCCGCCGCTCCATCGCTGTGGATGCGCCTTACCTCCATACCCAGATACTTCAAGCGTGCCACCATGCGCGCCAGAGCAGACTTCATTTCAGGCCCCTGTCGAGATGTGAGGGTTGGGATCTCCCTCCTTGATCTCCACCTCTTCAACTTGGACTTCTGGTAGAAGAGGTTCTTCAGCTGGCTCATCATCAGGAGACTCCTCCTGAGCCAAAGCCTCAACCATGCTCTGAAGAAGAGGGCAATCTCCGCAGCAGTATGTCTCACCGGAATTGCATAGACACCGACAAGGAAGTAGCGGGACTTTTTGCGATAGTCTTCACCCTGCCTGAAAGGTCCACACACGTCCAAGCTAAGGGTCATGGCATCCGGATGAGGCACTTTGCGGTGCTGACGGCTTTTGCCAGCCCCCTTCAAGCATGTAGTACACTCCCTCGAGAACGGGATGTGATCACAAAGTACATGGGTCCTCCACTGCTCAGCTGACATCTTGGTGATGGCAGGGTGATTCTCAACCTCAGGGTTGCCCATTTGACCATCAAGCTCCAAAACTATTCCCTAGGTGATCTCCTCCTTAAAGCGCTCCGGCCATGCAGCCCACCCTCGACTCTGCTTAGTGCGATCTTGGAGTGATGCTTCTGCGCTCGGAAGATGGTCACGAGGACGACGATCGATCAAACCATCAAGCCATGCCAGCGAAGCGATGTTGGTGCCCAAGGTTGTGGGTTTCTTTCTATCGTGTCCAAGTGCTCCCAAGTCTAGTCGAATCTCAACAAGCTCAAAACGCGCTCTGAAGACCTCCCATTCGGGCCAGACATAGAAGCTGGGGTAGTCCACGGGATCGGAGGGAGCCTTGTACTCTTGTGGATCTCTTGGATGCTCCTTGAGAAAGAGAACTTTACGCTGGCGTGCCGAAGCAGCCAAGGTGTACAACCACAGCTGGCGCAACCAAAGGACTGCATCGCTCCAGGCCAATTCCCTCATAGCATCGGAAAGACCATCCAGTGCAAAGCGTTCAGGACCACTTCGAGCACGGAGAGGTGGTGGTCCTGGTCTTCGAAATCGGAGCTTTGATACCGTCCTGCACGGTGGCCCCCCAAGCACCACATCAACTACACCTTTCTCACATACCTCCGCCAAGAAGCTAGCCAATTGATCGGACAGTAAGTCCTGAGCAGAATCGACGGACTTGCCAATGCACACCACCGTCCTCGTGTTGGTCTCGAGCCGCTTCCTCCACCACGACTGATCCGGACCGGAAAACAGATGAAGGACCACCGAAGAGCTCGATAAGATTCGTTGTCTTTGGCGGCGGTTCAACGGCGCATGATCTCCTGACCATTTTCCAGTTGGAATCACCCTTGCCACAAGCTCGTCAGGGACTTCCGGCCACATTTCCCTTAGATCACGAAGCCACTTCCAGACGTTCGGTGCCAAATCACCGGGATTACCAGCCTTGAGAGCCGACACCCGTCGCGACATCTCTGCCTCATGGTTCTCCAGCTGCTCGATGAGTTGATGAGCCAGAGCAAGTTCTACGGTGGGGCAGCCTGATTCAAGGATCACCTCAATCTTCTTGCCAGAAGTGTCCCACAGCTGAAAGGAGTCACCTTCCCAGCTGACCCGATAGCCAAGCCTCACCACCTTGCCCAATGGAACAATCGTCTGGGTGTCAAAGTCAGTGATCAGAGTCCCTGTGGCCTCAACCTGTCTCAATGTGGTGACACCCGCTGCCAACTCCACTTTGATTGGGGTCGCCTTGTCATACTCAGACTTGGAGCGAGCCGGCCTAAGAACATGCGTTGCGCCACCATCCAAAAGAGCTCGGCAATGACCTCCAGCTGGAGTGACTGACCTCACCCCCAACATCTTCACCGAGGGACGCAGTGACTTGAGGAGCTGCACCGCTTCCTTCACCAAGTCCTCCGAAGGCTGAATAGATGGAGGATTGAACATGGAGCCCGCGGAATCCACCGAACTGGAAGGAACCGCCTCATCACTCTTCATGGAGCCCTCCTTGGTCTTGACACTCTCCATCACCTCCTTCTTCACCTTCGGAACATCCTTGACTGGACAATCCGGCTTCATATGCTGCGTGGACCCGCAGCTCCAACAGCGTCCCTGCTTCGAGACACCCTTCCACTCATGCGGAAAGGAGCACTTTTGACCCTTCTTGCAACCAGCATCCGACAGAAAGTATCGGCAGACGGGTCGATCAGAACTGGCCTGTTTCCCCTCACCCTTGGCATTCTTTGCGTCCGGCTTGAGTTTCTTGTTGTCCTTGGATGAGCCGCCATCTTTGGCCTCAGGGCCATCGCGGTTCTTGTCCTTGATGTCCTTGGGTTTGCCCCCATCCTCTTTCGGAGCGCCACCATCAGCACCAATTGCTCGGACCTTCACCGTGTCCTTGAGCGGAGCTGAAGCACTTCCATGAAACACCGCTTCCCCCTCCGCCAAAAGCGACTCCGAGAACTGCTGAATCCCATTCTCCGTGGGCGCCACGTCAATGCGGAGAGCAGCACGGGTGACCTGCAGGCGAAAAGCAACTTGCGAAGAATGCGTTGCCAAACCAGCTGAATACCTGTCCAAGGTAGCCAAAAGAAGAACTGGATCAGGAGGCTGGATACCAAGCTCTTGCACCCTCGTAAGCCAACGTCGCCAGGCCCGCAACGAAGTCAGCCATTCCCCCAAAGATGATGGGACACGTTGATCCACCAACTGTTTCAGCAAGGTGGTTCTCTCGCCCAGTCCACCGGGCTGATACACCCTCAGCACCTTGAAGATGATGCTGACTGAATTCACCTCCCGTTGCGACACAAGCTCCGAGCGGATGGACTCCGGGATGGCCTTCAACAGTGCCACTGATCCTCGCTGTTCAATTCTCTTCTCAACCATGGAGGACGTTGAAATTCTGGAGGGGTCACTGGGTTCAATCTCAACCTCTCCATTGGCTCTGAATTGAGCCATACTCTGTAGAGAGCCCCCGCAACCCGCAGCACCTCATCCCACCACATGGAAGAGCTGGAGCTCATGTCCCTCAAAAATGGGCCAATTGTTGTGAGCCAGGCCCACCGCCAGGAAATCCACCATGCCCACCTCTTTGACCATCAGGGGGACCACCTCCATACCCGCCAGGAGGACACCCTCCAGGAGGAGCATGAGCAGGATGACCACCTCCATTACCACCGGGGCCAGGAGGACCGCCACCAAGTAGACCAGACCCATGAACTCCATGCCCAGGGAAACTGCCTCCACCACCCATGTTAGCCCCAGAAACCTCACCGGTTCGTTGGCTTGATTGTGCATCCTGTGGTTGTGAGAGGGTATCTTGAGTCCCCACCTCCTGCGAAGGAACCGTCTTTCCTTCCCTCTGCCCATGTTCTTGTCCTGAACCTCGACCTCCACTAGGTGTGCCACCCTGGAAACCCACGGCCTCATAGTCCCGTGGCCCAGTCGCGCTCCACGCCCGACCATCAGAGGACACGTGCCCAACCTGCTTCGCCGACCCCTTGGATTGCCCCAGCATTCCAGGAAGGAGCGATTGCACCATCTCTCCTGCGGCAGCCGAAGAAACACGATTGAACACTTCCATCAAACTGGTTCGAGGATCAAAACCTTGCCAAAGAGGACCTCCCGAATCATGTTGAAGACCCCCAAAAACTGGTTGATGCGAACGATCTCCTAGGCCCAGTGGTCCCAACAAGCCCTTGTCGTTGGAGTGACCAGACGCCCCAAGGATGGCCCTTTCGAACATGGAGCCCCACATGCCCTTCTCCGAACGAGGCGCACCACCCATCGCATTCACCTGCCACGGAGGTTGGCCAAAACAAGGAACTCCCTGCGTGGGCCAATTTCCAGTCGCAGCAGCTCCTCTCCACGAATCGCGCTCCGACCAGAGCCTAGCATTCTCAGCAACCAAGCCCTGGATGAAGGCCTTCATAGTCTCTTCACGAGGGGGACTATTTTGCATTGAGGAACCTCAACCGGCTGCAATTCGAGAGACTCCTGCGGCAAATCGGCAGGACGGATGGCTCTCAGCACAGCCTCGTCACGAACCGATTCCGACCAAAAAGGATTCCAGTTCTCTGGACCAAGCACCACTGGCGGCCCAGCAGGAAGGGCCATGACCCCATCAGCAGGGCCTGCATCTTCAATGGCTCGCAAGCCGCCAGACTCCGGTGTGCGCTCTGAGGTCGCACCTTCCGACATGGCGTCACCTGAACCCAAAAAAGACGCGCTCTTTAGCGTGTCCTTGGGCTCATAACCCACACGGCTGCTAATCTGCCGCCTTCTTCTTTTCAGCATACAAAAAAGGGCTTCAGATGTATACAGAGTGAACTCATGCTGTACTTCAAACCACATGCTCGTGCTTCGATTTCGGCTGTTATTATTATATACTTCTTTCTTTTTGGAGGGCCTAAAGCCTGTGTCCATGTTTGTTTCTTGATCTCATGATATCTCATGAATCTCCGATTTTTCCCAAGAGATTTTGTAGAGAAACAGGGGATCGGGATGTGCTGAAAAACGCCTGGTGGTCTTAGACTTACACCCCCTGAAATCATCACGGATGTGGATGGCATTGCCGAGGACATTTTACATCCGAACACCAAACAGGTGGTGTAACTGCACGTCAGCCACGATGAACTGCAAGCGATTTACATTTTTTTCCCCAAACAGTTTACTGGTTGACAAATATTGGTCCTTCTACGAATCGTTTTGAAACTGTTTGGGGTCTTTGCTGGTATAATTGTTTGTCAATCTATAATTGTCTTCCACTTCATTCAGACGATGCGGATCTACAGTGCCGATGTTCCTTGGATCCAAACGGCAGCTAAGCTGGTGATCTGACTGGTCGATTTGACCCCATCCGGTTGCGACAAGAACATCCGGAGGCAAACTGCGGATGCCCATCCTTGCAAGCTGACAAGATACGACAGGATACGACAGGAACGACTCGGATGGTTGGCGACCTCCAAGCCTTGGGAGGGTCGTCTTCAGCTTCAAACCTCTCCCAAACCCGTTGACCTTCCAACCCAAGCTGGGTTTCTGGGCTAAATCCCAAGCTGGGTTTCTTGCAGATCTTCCTGGCACATCTCCAAGTGAGCCACGCTTTCGCTAACTCGCCAGGTTTTGGAAGTGCTTGCAACAGGGAACTGATCGACCTCCCATCAACTACAAGCCCAAGAATGACTTGGTGAAGGTGCCGCGTGAGTGTCGCTTCAGCGAGGGCGGAGGGTGGAGCCTTTGGGCGTGAAAAACAGTCGACGTTGTGGGATTTGCATCGTCCTTGACGGAAATATTTCAGGTCAAATAAGGCAGACTGTGAGTGAAATATAGTCTGACTGAAATATAGTCTGCCTTATCGTCCTTGAAGACTCTTGACTATATTTCACCCACCCGATTTGGATTGAACAACCGCGGTTATTCATCAAGAGTGTACATTTAGTTTGACCCGGCGGCTGTGGGTTGATCGAATTTGGCCATGCCCCACACCCGAGTTGGGCGGTTTTCTCCAGTTCCTTGTTTCTATGTCCCCCCAACATGTGGAGCTTCCACTGGGTGGAGCTTGTCCAGGTGTTTCTGGGTTCGGGGCATCCCCAGCTCCGCCGGCGAGGCCTTCAGAGAGAGATTTGTCCACAGCTTCAACACCGCCAACAAAGCAGAGGAGGTGGATATGGAGGGTGACGATTTGGGATATGTTTTGTTCGCATTTAGTGCAGTCATTGACTCGGCAACGACGGAACGAAAGGACGCAAAAACGTTGGGCGGAGCATTCCAAGCCCCCCCTCCAAATTGGAGGTTCAGAACTTCAGCGGGCTCAGGAGCCCTCTTCAAGCTTGTGATTTGGCATGCGAAGATGAACACATGTTGAAATGCTTGTGTTCCATGTCAGGTGGCTCGGATGATGCTGGACAAGTACGTCCACAGCAGTTTTTGGACTCACGAGCTGAAAGTGCCCGTCGCTTGACTACTCGTGGCGCGGCCGGGAGGCACCCAAAAATCGCAAGTTGTTGGGATATTTTTGGATGTTGGTCGTCGCATCGAATTTGTATCAGCATTGCATTGAATCGAACTCAGCTCCTCTTCAATCATTGATGAATGTTTAGCTTTGTACTGGTCAGGCGGGAGGTTTGTTGCATCATCCTGCCCTTTTTTTCTTCACCGACTCGTCTCAGTCTCATGTCCACGGTGTCTGCCGCAGAGCCGCATAGCCTCTAGGCTCTGCGTGTCCGTGTCTGAGGTCTTCATTGGGGAGTATCACAGCGTGCATGGCGACATGATGCGCGATCTCTCTACGGCCATCTCGAGCCTCGGATGGTGCACGAAGTAAGGGATGGGGGTGTGGACACCCGACGACTGAGATGGACTGCGAAAGGCTTCCTTCAAGAGAACGACAGATTCACGAAAACATGGAAGGGATCGACATGATATGACTTCACTTGCCTTGTTTTTGGTTGGTTGGTCCATGTTCGCAGTCCAATCCTTCTTTGGTTCCGCTCCAGGATGGCCAAATCCTCCCGATATCCCTTCTTCATGGGCTACTCCTTCTTCGAGTTCTCCCGGAGCTATTGGAAGGGCGGCCCAGAGATGGAATTTGGGATGTTTGGCTCCTTGACTGCCACAGCTGCCAAATGGTGGCTGAGAAGCAGAAGGGCTTGGAACAGCACCCACTGGGCCCCCCAAATGAAAAGGCCTCCAGCCGGGCAAACATGGGTTGTTTGATATCTTCTTGTGTAGATCTTGTAAGGTGAACATGCAGGCTCTCCAGGCTCGTCCTTGCACGCCTGACATTCTCAGGTTATGGGGATTGCCCCTTGATGGACATGAACTATACCGGCTTAACCTACACGATTTGGAACTTGCCGCCTGGCGAGGGTGGAGACGGCGATTTTTTGTCAGTCGCTACCAAGCCAGTCGCTGGTTGGAGTCCGCAACATGCATTTTTGTAGACCAATGGAACAAAAGGATCAACAAGGCATGTTTTTCGGGTTTTAAACCCTTAGGGTTTCAACAAAAGGAGCAGCAAGGCATGGAGCTGTGCCCTCTTCAGGATCCAAAAACATGCCCTAAAGATCTTACTGAAGGATCCAAGCATGCACTGCACTGTGGCACCGAGCGGCCCAGGTTTTCTACCGGATACCGGTCACGTGCGGTTCCATGACCCACTCACGATAATATGGCTGTGAGTCAAAACCACTTGTATGCTGACCTTGAACCCCAAAACCACTGAGAACAACCCGAAAACCCACTCAGAACCCCAAAGCCTTGCAGCTTGAGGAGGTGTAGTTTGGGGGGGCAAATCATGGATTTGGATTCATCACTTCTACCGAACAAAGGATTCCAATATTATCATACATATACAGATATATATATATATATATCACGAAAGCTAGCGAAGCTAGCTGGAGTTACTCTTGCGATAGCAAGGTTTCTTTCGATCGGGTGCAAATCCTAACCCCTGATCTTTCAGGTCGAAGCCCCCCCCCCTCCCCCCCTCTCCTCCTCCTTGTCTTCCTCCCTCCCTCCTCCCTCTTCGCAAGTTCGACTCCGTCCTGTCGTCCCTCTTTGGCATGCGGTTAGCGTTGCGTATCTTGCGGCCGCACTCGCTCACTCTCACTCTCACTCTCACTCTCACTCTCACTCTCACTCTCACTCTCACTCTCACTCTCACTCTCACTCTCACTCTCACTCTCACTCTCACTCTCATCTCTCTCATCTCTCTCATCTCTCTCATCTCTCTCATCTCTCTCATCTCTCTTTCATCTCTCTCTCATCTCTCTCTCATCTCTCTCTCATCTCTCTCTCATCTCTCTCTCTCATCTCTCTCTCATCTCTCTCATCTCTCCTTTCTCATCTCTCTCTCCTCTCTCTCTCTCTCTCCTCTCTGTCTCTCGTCTTTCCGTCTCTCTTCTCTCTCTTCTCTCGCAGGAGGATCCGGGCAAAGAGCCACATATAAAGGACTCTTCACCCCTGCCTCCAAAAAGAGCGCCGTGTTTTTTCCTACCTCGCTGCCCTCCACTTTCCCATTCTGGAGCGCTAGCTTTCGCCCCCCCCTTGGCCTCAAGTATATATATATATATATATGCAATGCAATGCAAGACACATATCAAATCGTACCAATACCCTTTTCCTCCTTCAGTGGTGGACATCGCGACCGCTGGGCTTCGCTCAGCTCCGCGCCGTCCGCTCTCGGCCGAACGCCCGAGGATTCCGCTGAAGGATCGGCACCACAGCGACTTGCCGGCGGCGCTGAAGAAGGCCTTTTTGAAGGACACGAGTAGAAGGCTTTTTGGACCTACTGTATCGGACCAGCGGCTATAGGACAGCTATATTCCAAAGTTTTGTGCTGGGAAATTTATTTATATATGTATCTTTTCGGAGGCCAGGCCATATCTTGGAGGTGGTGTTAGGACTAACAAGGCCAGTCGGAGGTGTTGAGTCGGAGGTGTTAAGCTCCATGGATCTCACGGGAGCGCTTCCGCAGCGCGCGGTCGAACGAGACGCACCGAACGACGCACCGAATGAGCACCGAATTGGAAGCTTGGAGTCCCATTGCACCGACTGAAGCACCAGGGTCAAACAGGAAGAGGAGTTTCTTTTTGCGCTCCTCATCTGTCATACATATTTGTTTTTGTTTTTGTTGTTGCTGTTGTTGGGGTTGTTGGGAATTAGGTGGATTTGACAAGAGTGATGCTTTTCTTGCACATTTCACGGACAGTCTGGATGAGATGCTGATACTGACTGGTGTCAGCTTGGAGCTTTGGCTGTTGGACAGTGGATGCCCGATAGGCCAACTGGGAAACTTTTGCAAGTGGCTTCTTGTTGTTGTTGGCTGGGTGAAGGCTGAGTCTTCTTCAAGTAGCCAATTCAAGAAGACCAAGCGTTCCTCTTGTCGAAGAACAACTCTTTCCAATGCACCTTGCTGGTCTAGGCCTAGGCCCAGGCCGGCCTGGGCTCTCCCACACGGGGACCTTCTCTTTACAACTTTGAAGCCACTCAGCTTCTCGACAAACATTTGCCACAGGCCCGACTTCCGAGGGTTCCTTGCTCCGACTCCGCTGGTCCTCTCATCTACTTCAACTAAGTCTGAGACCAAACGCAACGAGTCCAACGGATCCCACTGGGTCACCGGGCGGAGAACCGGTTGAATGGCCCAGGTGCAGGAGACCTATACTTGATGCAGGGACTGAAGACTTCATGTCTTGCTTTTTGTGGGAGGCTTTCCCATTTCCGACCCCCACCCATTTCATGCCAAACAAACCGGATTTGTGTGTTTCGTGATTTCAGATGCTGCGAGATTTCTCATCTCTCTTGCCCACCGTCCACCCGCACACGCGCAGTCCCGAAACGACCCTGGACGGCCGAGACGGACAACTCCAAAAAGACTCGAGATCCGATGGTGGACAAGAAAGAACACATATCTTTCAAGATGGACTCGAGAACAGCATTCCCAGACTCGAGAACAGAACCAGATGGAGACTCAGCACTTGGACTCTCAAGAGAGATATTTGTTCCTCATCGATTGTTCGCGGGGATAGGTTGCTTCTCAAGAACACGGTTCCAGGAAAACTTTTTTTGAGGAAGAACAATCAAGTTTTCAATTTCCAAGAAAACGGTAAAACTCCGAAGATCTATTGTTTCAGGAACACTCGATCGTTATGCCCCGGTGGCGGTATTTCTCCAGGATCCGGGCCTGCCGAAGTTGCTCCTCGGTTTTCCCTTACTTTGGTTGTGTGGGTGTGTTTGAGGGAGAGAAGTCTTGGACTGAAACGGCATTTTCATGCATTGGTTGTGTGGGTTTTCAAGTGTTTTTTAGCTTCACATACCATAGAAAGACCCCAGGGCGATTCTTTGTTCCTCATCCAGGGCGTCTGATACTGTTGCCTTGCTCCGTAATCATAATCCACACTCTTTCCCTCTCTCTTTTGCTCAATGACTTAAGTGCATCAGTTGACAGACAACACACAGACACTTTTGCAAAAGAGTTTCCAGCACATGGGTCAATATGGGTCAATATGGGTCAATTCTTTTAGAATTCAAGGTTAAAAAGATGGGCTTTACAAGACTTCCATGAGCTCAATCAAGTTCAAAGTTATCGATCAGTGGAAGCGATGAAGTGGAAGCGATACATTGAAGGAGCCTACATATTCGAAGCGGAACAGGTGTATGAGTTTCGCTGCACCTTGTAGTGTTCTCGGAGTTTTAAGGGACACCATGACAACCATTTGGAGAAGCGAGATGCGCGTACTCCATTCTTTGCATGTTTGGCCCCCTCGAGTGGTTTCGTTCTTCCTACCAAGCGGCTTGGGTGGAGCGTGGGTGCCGTCGGAACTCGTTTTTCCCACTCGCCATCGAGGCTGTCGCACCCTCATATTACTTGCAAAGGCTCTACCAAGGGCCTCCCTTGAGGCAGGGTGGAAGCGAAAGGTTCTTCGGGAAGCTGCAGGTTAGGTCGGTGAAAGCCAAAAGTGGCCGAAAGAAGTGGGGTTTCTTTTGCAGAAGTTTGCCTCGTCGAGCAGGAGTGTTTGGTTCGTGGCAAGTTACGCCTTATACCTGCAGTTGGAAGCTCCGAACCCCATGGCTCTCACCGAAAACGACGGTGCACCCCACGCCCGTATGATCGACCAAACCTATCCAAACCCGTCACCGAGCTCCCCGCATCCAATTGTCATTCTTGGTGTGATCGTTTTTCTCGCAGATCGAAGCGCCCGTGGGAACTAGCAGCTAGCGAGAAGGTTGGTTGACCTACCGTGACATGGGATTTGTCACTTTGACCTGCACGGTTTCGGCATGGCCTCACTTCTATCTCTGTGGATGAGGAGCCAAGAGGATGACCCGCTATCTGCTGCGGTCCCTTGCAGCGTTTCTCAGCCCCTCTCGAAGCAGAGGTTGAATTCAGCGGAGCTCTTCCGGATGAGCTTCTCTGGGATTCAAAGAAAGAACTCCTTTTGAGACCCTCCCTCACACAAACTTGGCAACATCGACGAGTTGATGGAAGATCAGGATTTTGCTGACCATGAATGTTCTTAACAATGGCTCAGAGATGTTTCCGGGGTTGTTTGAGAGTGTGGGTAATTAGGGAGGATTCCGGAATCCATGTGTGTTTTCATGGATTTTTCTATCCCGGCAGCCAAATGTGTTGCATAGAGCCTATCCAGCGCAGTGAAGATGAAAAAAGGGCTTCTGGTCTGGTCTAGTCGGATTGTTGGGCTTTTATTGCAGTGGCAGGTTTCCAGGAAGATTGGCCAAAGGTGGATGTACCAGTACTGTACCAGGTTTGTGTACGTTCAGCAGTGATCCACAAAAATCTGTGTCACTCTTTATAGTCTTGGAACCGCGGCACCACTCGACCACGTCGCCCATTCCAGATTCTTGTTTGGACCAATCGGCGTTTCACTCCATTCACCCAGCTCAAGGCCCAGTTTCGAAGCATGGGCGAAAGCCCAAACTGAATCGATCTACTTCGATCTGTGAAACCACCAACAGAGGTTGAAGGACCTGAACTAGACTATCCCAGTTGGGTACCCCAAATTACGGTCCTATCAAGTCACTGAACCTCTCTGAAACCATCGCCGCACGCCAACCACAGCTGAGTAGTCTCGCCTTCGCCTCGGTGGGAGGGACAAAAGTGAGTCGTCACAACAGGCGAAGTCGTCGATGACTCCTGAAAATGGTGTCACAAGACGGGGTGGTGTGGCTCGTCCCATCCAGTGAGTGGAGTAGCTGGGCACTCCGAACCTCTATTAAGCAACTTTGATGAAGACTAAGGTCTGAAGCAACGTTGGAGCTTTGCCTGGCCAGCTGCAATGCACTTCTTGACTCTCGGCTGGGCCGACCTGCACTTCGTAGAACGAACGTTTTTGAGACCTGCGAACTGGCGACGTTCGTGAGTTTCTGAAAGAAATTCTAGGACCAGCCGTGCGTTTTGGAGAGTTGTTTATATAGATTTATGGCGACTTGGACCCTTGGACCTAACCCTTCAGTTCGGACGTGAGCGATGGAACTTGGTGCACGGTGTTTGTCACTGCTCGAGCATTTGGACGAAAAAGAAAGCTCCAAGAACACGCAGAGAGAAGGGCCAAGGAACAGCCAGAGTGCTGTGAAATTGCCCTTGACTTTTGGTGCATTCGAATCTCCAATGATTTTGCCGGTTTTGGATGTCCCTCACGTGCGAAGCTAGCATATCCAACCTTGATCCCTTAGAACCTTAGAAATACTTGGCCCTTAGCCCTGGCCTCAAGCATTGTGGTTTCTGGTGCACCGAAAGTCCTGGGTGGCCCGAACGTGCGAGCGACATGGCACACTTCTTGATCTTCACATTGATCCTCGCAGCCCATGGCAGTGAGATTCAGGTGAGTGGCCAAAAGTTTCCCTATCTTCCCATATATCAGCTTGAAGAGAGGTGAGGTTAGTGTACGTTGCCTCCTGTTTTTTTTCCCTATTATATAATTGGTTTGTTTTGAGCAACGCTGCTAGGTGGTGTCCAATGATTTCTCCTTTGCCATGGTGAACCACGCCACTGGCCTCGCTGAGTGTTGGGGTGACGTGAAGTATGGTGGGGACTGCAGCGGGGTCAACTTTGCCGGAGTTCGTCAGGTGGGAATGGAGTTGAGAGTATGTAGTGATTCATGGCAAATGTCGATTTCACAGATGAGTTGGCCTCAAAAACTTGTAAACTTGTTCTCGGTCGGTGGTGTGTTTGGTGTTCTTTTTGTATATATATATATATACACACATAGTCCAGTGAACGCCGATGTCAAGTGGAGATTGAACGTTTATGAAGGTTGTTCCTTTGGACAGGTGAAGGCCAACTCTCGCTCGATGGCCGTGCTGACCAGCACCGGCGGAAGCTGCTGGGGCTATACTGCCTATGGAGGTCAGGGAATCTCTAAATTTGTAATTGGAGGGTAGGGTGAAGTGGGAATAGACAGACATTAATCCAAAACCAAATATTACATACAAAAAACCTACTATAGATATAAGGTGGGTCTATGTGGGTCTATATTCGCATCTATTGTATTTATAAGTGAACATATATATATATATATACCGTAGAAGTTCAAAAAGACCAGATGCGAGCCCACCTTTGCCCCAGTGAAATGGCAAGAAGTTGCCCACCTTTGTGTCACCGAAGTAAGAGTCTTCTACTTCGAATTCACCCATTTCCCAAGTCCATAACAAGGGCATCGCTACTAGTAACAAGTGCATCGCTACTAGTTATTTAGTTTAGTATTACTTTATTATATCTAGGGAGAACCACGAAAACGACTGGATTGGTCAGGTGACTGCAGCACCATAGGCCTTTCCGGCATGACGGAGCTCCACTCAACGGACTTGAGCTACTTGGCCTTCGATGCGGTCGGACAACGAGGCATTTGTTGGGGCCATAGCTCGTATGGTGGCTCCTGTGGCGCCATCGACTTCAGCCAAGTGACGAAGATCAGCAGCAACAAGTACGCCTATGTGGCCTACAGTGCTTCCACACACACCTTGCAGTGCTGGGGTTCCAGCTCCTATGGCGGCAACTGCGAGGCCTCCGCCTTCACTGGCAGCAGCCTTAGTGAAGTCACCGAGCTCATAGCCTCCATTGGCGCCTTTGTCGCTTTCGATCGAACGGCAGGGACCATCAGCTGCTGGGGCAGCAGTGCGTATGGAGGCGATTGCAGCTCAGTGACCTTGACGGGCATCACGGAGGTGCACACCAACGGCAAGGCCTTTGTGGCTTTGAACAAGAACTCCGGCCTGGGCCAGTGTTGGGGGGGCAGTGGCGGCAACTGCAGTGGCATCGACTTCTCCGGAGATGTGCAGATCTACTCCACTCAGTCAGCTTTTCTGGCCTGGAAGTCTGGCAGTGGACAGTGCTGGGGCGATCTCACACGGGGCGGAAACTGCAGTGCTGTGAACTGGGCTTCAGTGAAGCAGATTTACAGCAACGACTATGCCTTCTTGGCCTTGGACAGCAGTGGTGTGGCGCAGTGTTGGGGCTTGGAAGGCTATGGCGGCAACTGTCAGGTCGGCAACCTTGATGGCTTTGAGATCTACTCCAGCAGCACGGTCTTCGCAGCCATCAACTCCATCACGGGTCTTGGCCATTGCTGGGGCCAGGAGACCTATGGTGGCAGCTGCAGCACGCTGGACTTCACAGGTGTCACTGATGTTTGGGCCAATTCACGCGCATTTCTGGCTGTGGACCGCAACCTGCATGGCCAGGCATGGGGGGCCTCTGCCCAGGGTGCAGATGTGAGTGCAGTGAACTTCCTTAAAGTCTTGACGATGCCCACCACCGTGACCCAGACGACTTCACCAACGTCTGCAACAGCCACCCGCACTGTGACAGGCACCACAGTGACCGCCACCAAGACTGACACAGCCACCCAGACCACGGCAACTGTGACCGGAACAGGCACGACGGTTTCCGTGACTAACACCGGGACCACAGTGACAGGAACCACTAGCCTTACAACCACTCTGGCCCCGACGGTACCTCCAACCACAGAGCTCCCCTCTACGTCCTCTACCTCAAGTGCATCAGGGCAATGCCTTTTCATTTGCCATTGGTTTATGCGATCCAACCGATTCAAGAGTCGATTTTGTGGGATGGACTTCTGCAGTGGCTGTGAGCAGTGTGATGGTGATGAGGTGTCTGAGACAACCACGACCACAGTTGAGATGCCCGTGTGCAGTGAGGTTTGCAAGCAGTACAAGGGTTCTGCTGCGAATGGCGGTTGGAAGAAGATGGCCCTCCTGTGCGTCCAAGAGAAGAAGAATGGCAAACACAAGTGCTACGCGCCTTCCCGTTGGACGTTCAGATGCCCTCACAACCGCAGCAAGTGCCGCGTGGTGGATGACCAGAATTCCCCGTCCGGCAGAAGCCTCCGCGGGTCGTTGGTGCGCTAAGTCAGTCGATTTCGGCGTGCTGAAACGGTGGTTTCTCTCCACCGTTTTGCAGGCCAGCGGTGGAGAAGTCCTCCTTTTTGAGGACTTTGTATAGTCCAATCCCTCCACGATATTTTTGTGGTGTTGATCGGTTTGTTTTTCCCTGCCCGAGATTTGTTAGCACCGGGCGGTGATGCAAAGAAAGCGTCGAACCATGAACCGAGCACCAGTCGCCAGTTGCACAGCTCGCGCCAGGGACATGAATCGAAGCAGGATGCAAGCCGATAAAAACTAAAGCCTCCAAGTCTCCCACTAGCAAACCATAATGATGAATATCATCAAACATCTAACATATACCGAACTACTAAAGCACACTATATTAATGATTAATCAAACATCAAACACGGAGTACGATCAGACCGATTCAGAGCCCTGTGGTTTGCATGACTGGCTCACACTACAGAGATCTTGATGGCTTCCAGAGAGGGCCAGGACAAGACTCCAGATGTATAGTTTGCATTCGGAAGGCCACACATGGTATTCCGATTGCGGGGATGGCACCAAGAATGCACCTTGAGAAGAGGTGGCAAGTTGTGTGCGTCTCGAGAGGCCGCAGGTGGCCGTCTTCAGTGTCTCTTGACAGCTGCGGAAGGATGCAAATGCCGCCTCATCTTTCTGTGCCAGTGCTATCCAGTGCTAGTAGTAGGTGGTGCTGCTGATATTGCCTGATATTGATCACCCGTTATTAGATGTTCAAGACTCGCATAGACTTCAAGACTCCGAGAGTGCTAGTAGTTTCTGGAAGGCATTCGAGGAGCGAAACGTCCGGAGCGGGGCGTTTTTGGAAGCTAAGCATCAATGAACATCCATGAGCCATCATAGGATACTCTCAAGTCATGAGAACTTGTTGTTTTTTTGTCCGGGCTTTCTGCGATGCGGATTTTCGGCAGATTTCGGTCCACACACAATGACTTTGGGACGGGAAGCAAATGACATCAAACGACATCAAATGATTCACACTCAAGGAATTTGTCGATTTGCAAATCTAGCCCTTTGATGCCTCTAGTGTACTGTCCCATGTGTCTTGATGCACCCCAACTTGGCCCAACCATTTCGACGAAGGGGGAGATGAACTTCGCTTGCTGGGTGAGTTGCGTAACGCATGCGATGTGATTCAGTAGTAAACAGCGGGCTTGGCACGCCAACAGCTTGGCGGGCTTTTGGGTTGCTTTTGTCCCAATGCTGACATGGATAGAACTTGGAGCGCGAGGGACCTGGATTTTCTTGCATGGGCCTTGGATTTGCCCCCCTGCGCGAGCAGTGGAACTCACGCAGAAAGAAAGCCGGGTGTAAACCGCCTCTGGTGAATCTCCAGCCGGATTTTTGCGATCGAAGAAACATGCGTCTTCCGTTTTGCTAATGCAAGCTCTGTGAGCTGTTCCGGTTTTCCCGTTTTGGATCACATCAATGAGCCCATGCTTGGAAGTTGAGGACCATGGAATTGGTGTGGAGGAGGTCCTCAAGATCTTGAAGTCGAGGAAGGATATCCACAGCTTGAGGGCCCAGAAGGTCTTAAAGGAAGCACCTTTAGAGCTGGTGGTTTGTAGATTCTACATTCAACCGTAGTTTTATGAGCGCTTTCTTCTTTGGAGGTTTTTGCCACGATCTTCGTGGCCAGCGGCGGTTTTGTGTTCCAACCTGCCGCGGTGCGTTTGATTTGTATGCTGTATGCTCGTGATTGGCCAATCCGTTCGAACACCCTGCCATGCTGCCAGCTCTGGGAGCGCAAAGGTGCCCAGGCACGAGGAACGAGTTCGTGGTCGCCAAAACAAGAAGCGAATGCGCTCGTGCTGGTGACCGTTTCCCGAACCAAGGTGATCCTGAAAAGTGTAAAGCCTTGCTTCTCTACAGTCTGCAGAGGGCTGGGAGCTTAGAGAACACCTGTGCAGATCCTGGTGAAGACTGAGACTTTCGTTGCAGATCCTAGTGAAGTCTGAATGAAATTTAGGCCTCAAGTCTCAAGAAGCCGACCTCATCTTCATCGTTGATGTAGATATCATAGATAGATATCCCAGGTGATCTAGCTTAATGAACTGTAAACTTGACATCTCAACACTGCATGTTGCCCTGAGAAGGGTCAGACAGCATGAAGGGGCTGAAGACGAGGGTCGTAGCCAAGGCGGCAGAGGCGGTGCTTGCTGAACGGCAGGTGTGCTGCTGTCCTCAGGGGGTCCAACGGCCTGCGTTGGTTCCAACTGAGGCTGAAACTGGACAGCTGGAAAACCTGGAGAACCCGAGAGTGGAACCCCAATTTCCAATTGCCTGGGCTTGTGGCCTAGTGGGTTAGGACGGTTAGGGAGTGCAGTGAGGTGAAGTTCGCTTGAGCTTGTCTCTCAGCAGCGAGACCCACCGCCAACAGTACAATGCATGCAGCACACCACAAATTCAAGAAATTGAGGTCTCCCATATGCCACGTGGAAGAAGTACATCATTTGCCAAATGAGAGGCTTTCGCATGTCATAATCATGTATATAATCTTCAAGGCCAAGAGCACATCCAACTAACCAGTGGCTTCCCCAGTGAACTATATAATGGTTTCACTTACTGAAGAAAGGGTGGGAGTGGGAGGGTGAGGGAAGTTCTTTTGGATGGATCTTGAAGACCAGCCTTTTTTGGGCCGACTTCACACTGCCAGGCTCCACCTGATGGGCTTCAGAGGCTCCTCCCGGACTTCGAGGCGCATGACGAGGGTGCTCGCGCTTCGCTCCAGGAGACTGGAGAAGCTGCCTCCAGGAGACCAAGCTTGAAGACGGAGACCTGCCTTCAGATCACATATATATATATATTAACATATATATAGATATATATATATATATTAACATATATAGATAAGTTGAAGCCCTAACCCCTGACCACCATCGGATTTCTATTTTGGCTGAAAAAAGGAACCATGCAGAGGAAAGGCGCAGAACGCCAGCACCATCGGATCGAAGAAGATGCGGATTTTTGGGCGTTCCTCTCGGTGATCCCAGTTCTAAGCGTATGAACTGATTGCAAGATATCAACACCAAGTTCCGAGAGTTCGATTGGCACCTCGGAACTCCTTCCAAACGAGAGTTTGGTTCGTTCTTCTCTTAGATCTGCCAGGCACTGGCTGCTTCCAAGGCATCTTGGGCGATGGATATTTGCTCTTTGGCTGGCAGGCGGGAGAGACTTCGGCAGATTTGATCCACATGAGAGCCTTACACTCCTGGAATCTCTCACATGGACCCTGAAAGACTCTTTTCCTCTATAAACCAGTGGGGTCCATGTTAGTCTTCAGCAGGGTACCCTGCAGCGGTATCCAGTCTGGGCTTAGCTGGTCATGAAGTGGACTTGATGCAAAGTGAGATCTGGGACAGCAACATACATACTCTAGTTACTCTAGTTCCTACTACCACTTTGCTTAGCATGCTTCTGTGACTTGAGCGTATCTCACATCATCAATGTGGGTCACCAGGTCTTTTCCAAGAAGGTGCTGTCGAGATTTCTTTGTGTCCCAGGTTGCTCTCAGCCTTGGCGGCAAAGCTGTGGAATAGTGGCAGGAAGACAGATGCTGCAGGGCCCTCAAGTGCTAGATCGGCACCTTCTTCCGACATGAAGTGAGTGATTTTGGGTTAAACCGGAGCTGATTTGGTGATCATTCGAGCCCTTCCTCCCATGCAAGAGGATGAAGTTTGCTGTGATGTTTCTCAGGCCAGATGGACGCAGAAAGCTGTCATTGTCTCAGACACAGGATCACCAGCGCAGCAAGGCAATTCCGAGGAAGAGTGGTTCATGATTGTTCATGTCTCTGCATTGAGGCAGAGCTACTATCCGTGAAGCCAGAGGCACCGGTGCTTTCTCCAGACCCCTTCTCAAGGTCATCTCTCACAACTCTTCTCCAGGCAGCCGCTGAGGCAGCTGGCTGCTGGGTATCTGCAGGCGCCTTCTCCAGAGAGGGCAAGTTGAAAGCGATCTTCAGTCCATCCATCCCACCAGTCTCTGATCCTTTGTGCTTGCAACATGTCCAGCTCTTTCCTTCGAACTCACCATGAACACCACGTTCCGCTGGGGAGTTCTGACTGCCACGTGTCCCGGTTTTGGTCGCTGACCGGCCGCTCCTCCCGAACACCTCAGGGCAGTGCCTCCGGCTGATGGGGGATCTGGACGGCGCCCTCGTGTGCGCGCGCCAGGCGCGCGCGCGACGTTCCGAAGGTCGGCCGAATCGATGGCACCGGGTTGGCCGGGGCACCGGGGCGAAGAGGCCGTGCAGGTGTCGGAGGATGCGGAGGCCCAGCTCCTGTGCTTGGAACTGAGCTGCGAGCAAGTGAAGGCGGGACAGGTGGAGCACAGTGAAGGCCGTGCTGATTTGATTGTTGTGCTTTCGCAGAAGGCGGGCCATGAGACTACAGAGGCGTGTTCATCCGCGGGTGGTCCGACCCGGCTCCCATAGAATCCGCCTTGATCGACCCATTCAATGATCTGTATACTGTATATGAAACAGGTTCTAGTATTCTAGTAGCTTCTTGTTACTAGTAGTGTGGCCAGGAGCCCCTAGTAGCGTCCTTGCTCCTAGTAGTAAGGCCAGAAGCCCCTAGTAGCGTCCTTGCTCCTAGTAGTAAGGCCAGGAGCCCCTAGTAGCTTCTTGTATTCCAAGAAGCCGACCTCAAAAATGACTTGCGGCCACTTCCTCTGACTGTTTGTGATGACCACAGTCCAATGAATATTGCAAACGTGGACGGCACTCTGAAGGTTACTTGGTTACAAGTACTTGGATCAACATGCTCGCGTTTGTCTCAATATGGGTGAACCCTCCAAAACTCCCTAGGCAAACGAGGCAATAAAGTTGTTAAGACAACATAGGTTTCGGTTTGAGTGAGAACTGTAGAAGCACACATAGGACATCTGAATCTGATTGCAGATGCTTGCAGTGGAGTTTTATTTTTACTTTTTCCGACAGGCCTTCCTATGCATGCAGAAGCTGCACAAGCAGCCCTCCTTACGGTGTGGGGCTCGGCCTTATGCGGCCTCAGGGGTCCGATAGTTGTTCTTTTTTCTTCTACTGAAAAAAGAACACGCTAGTTGTTGTGGACAGTAATGGTGGACAGTAATACTCCAAGTTTGACTCCAGGTTTGACTCCAGATGTTGCTTTTTGGCAAGGTAGCATTGCAGATTCCCAAGCTGCGAGGCGTTCCCAAGCTGCGAGGGCGGCAGAGGCAGTGCAGAAGCAGCCCTCAGAGGCCAGATGCATCCGTGAGATTGACTAGCAATGATAGGCGCCAAGACCCAAGCAATATATTGTTTGCTTTGATTCATGCGTTTGGATGCGTTTGGGTTCTTTTCTTCATGTGAGAAGGCTATTTTCGATGCTTCAAAGAACCTTTGGACCATTTCGCTCCTTTCTTTGGACCACAAATCCACAAAACCGGATGTTTCCTCGCGCCTTCGGTCTGCGGCTTGGATGCAGCCCTTCCTCGGTGCTGTGCACCTTCGCTCCTGCCTTCCGCGTTGACTCATCACTCGTGGACCGAACGAAGCGCGGAACCCGCGTCGTCCGAGATTGGAGGAGCTGACCTTGGCCGGATGGGAGCTGTTCGTGATGTGCACGGCCAAGGAGGCCGGAGGTCCTGCGCTCCGCGGCCACACCGCGCGTGTTTGGGTTGTTCTCGACGGCGAGGGTCCTACAGTTCGAAGAGTCCAACGGGAAAAGCACGGAATCAAAGCAAGTGCCTCAATGATTCGTCAGTGCAAGGCCTTACAAGACCATGGGACCGGACCGTCGCATGTTCCGAACTCATCTTCTTGGCCGATCGCCTCCCGTCCGGGCACCTCGGATGGCAGGAGAGTGGGTCGAACTCGGACCTCTGTGGCCTGACGGTGGCTGCGCAGCTGGTCACCCGGGCTGCAGAGCTCCAGAAGCCCAGCGAGGAGAGGTGTTCCGGGTACGGTGATGGTTCTTCGACCGGGTCGGAGGACTCCAATGGGGGGCGAGACGTGCTTGGTCTTCAGACCTGGCTGGTCCTTGGAGGCTGCCATTCCGGGACAGCCGTCCTGTGGCCTCGGCTGAGCCCTAGTTGTCCGGTCGAGGGGACACCCGAAAGCTGAGCGACCAAGCTCCGCAAGGCTAATACATTCTATGCAAATCTGTCAGAGAAGTGCCATGCTGACTTGTTCATGCCAGGGTGGACATGGGTGTGTATTGGAGTAGGGAGACCCATCAAAGACCCAATGCAAGAAGGACAAATTGACCCATCTACCCAGCCAGGGCCAGGGGTGTCTCCCTATCGCTTCCGAGAAACTTGAGATCTTCGCCCTTCAAGCAGCGGAAGCCGCCCGATTTCCCCGCTCGCGCGAAGCCGCTGGTGTGTGGAGTTGCAGTCCCTGACATCATCGAAGGAACGTGAACACGGCGCCTGCATCTCATCCGATTTCAGGAAGCTGTAACCGTAAGTCGCATGGAGCTCACAGTTCTCCTCACAGCTAGGAGCTCCAGCGGCTTTTGGCACTGGCGTCCCAAGCGGCCGATGCCTGTCGTGCGCCCTTGATGGCAGAGCTTCGCTCCGGAAGTGGTGCAGGGAGTTGGGCAATTCGGCAGCTGGTGCTGGTGGCATGGAGTCGCTTGGAACGTGGAGTTGCTCGTGTCAGAGATGGGCTGGGATGGGCTGGGTATATAGGGCTACATGAAGGTAGATGTAGTGAGCTGGGCTCCAGGCCCCCATTTGTGTGAGTTGCAACATCTGCAGTCGAGTATTAAGTATTCTGTTGGGTTGAGATTGGGAAAGGTTGGATGTTCTTGGATGAAGGGCCTGAACTCACCATTGCCAAAGATGTGGCCTGAGTGGCATACAAGCATATATAAGCGAGTAAGCAGGCATTTTGGTTTGCTCGGACAGGCTCGGGACTCGGGGGGGGTTGTGATGAGTTCCGACCTAGACGTAGGAGGTCAAACTGATCCCCGAAACATGGAACGCAAACACGAATAAGAGCATCATCTCTCACGGGAAATGGATTTCTTCAAGCTTCCAAACAACATTAGGGCACCAAAATCATGGCGGCGGGCCAGAGGTGAGCCATGGAGTCAGACGACGGAACCCACCCCAAAACCATGCAACACCTCATTATTCCCCACTAATCCCACTCAGTGCCACTTATCCCAGTTTGCTTGGCGAATGCACAGACGCCAAAGATGTCAAGTCCCCATGTGGCCTGGACGCTCGGGTGGTGTTGGGCCTTGGAGTCAGGTCAAGGCCAAGCCTTGGGCCGCAGCGGTCAGTGGTCCTGGTCCTCCGCCATGTTTGCCGCCGGCCACCAGCTCCTGGCCAGCTGCGAAGCCCCGCCACCGGTGCCACCGAGTCCAGCGCCGGACAGGTCTTCGGCGAGGCGGGTCGTGTCAGGGGGTGAAATCGAAAGAGCTGGTGCAGAACAGATGTGGTTCCCTTCCCTATTGAGTGTTGATGAATTGAAGCTTCGTTTTTTGTGATCATCTTCCAATCCTCCAAGTCAACATGTGGTTCCCCAACGCTTTTGGCCCTACGAACTGTGCAACAGGTGGGGGTGGGTCAAAAGAAAAGTAACCTCAAACCATACTGCAGTATAGAGGAGATGATCCTAAGATCCTGGAAGACTCTTCGATTTCTTTGGAAGACCATACGACCAGCCGGTCACTCTAGTCATACCACTAGTCACTCTAGTCATGCCATTAGCATCCATTAGCAGTTCATGTGACTTATATACTCCCGTCATGCCACTCCAGGGCGCGCGAGTTTGTGGATGCTCGTGCTTGGTGCCTCATCAGCGATGCTTCAGCGCAGCTGCAGCAGGTTGCCGTGCGGAACGGACCGGGAGAATTAGCGCCCACGGTCTCAGCGCGTTCGAAGAACTGGGGGGGAAGTGGGGGCCGTTGTATCAAAAGATTTGGGATGTTTGATGAGTTTCATGGATGAACAGGCTTGTTCTATGTTCTTATACTTTGGATGCTTGAATTCTTGGGTTCCATTTGACCATCGCAGAAGAATGCTTGTGCTTGGGAGGTAAACCCTTCGGCGACAGAGATGGTCGCCGATGCAGTCGAAACGTCCTTCCCGGGCCTGCCCCAAGAGCAACCGATCACACATCCATAGTTCTCCTGGAAGATAGAGTTCCCCCGGTTATCAATCATTTGTTATTGTTATGAGTTGTGACAAATCTCTCCTCTGGTGGTGGCAATCTTAGCACCTTCCACAGCTCCTTTCACTTCTTGAAACAATTGAAGCCTTCCTCCCTCTTTTTTCTACCAAACCGGGCCGCCCACGCAGCGCGGTTCCAGGCCAAAGAAGATGGTGGAAGCCTGAAGGGTGCAATGGCCTTGCTGGAGAAGGCTCACAGGTGCCGCCACAGCCGGAGACCAGAGACAAGACGGAACCCAGACCGCTGCGGACGCCGTCTGCGGCGAAAAACCGACGGTCTGCGGGCGCGAACCATCTCCTCTTCAGGAGCGATGGCGGTTGTAAAGGTTTGTCATGGGGAAGCTCAAAAGCACAGACCTTCACTCTTTCGATACCTGCGGTTTTTGATCATTTTTGGTTGCCTGCCGGTTTTTGAATACCAATCTAAGCAGCGATTCTGTTTCAAGGATATCCCATATGCCTTTGGTGACTGGCAACTCTGTGGATCCTTTGTTCCTCTCCAATCCAGGATATTTAGGCCCCTCTGCAGATGCTTTTCTCATCTGCTGGAGGCTTTGCCAGCGCTCCCGGGAACTTGAGAAGCAGGGCATTCATGGAGAGGCGGGGCTTCTCAACACGCCAGTGCGAGGTGAAAACATCTTCTCAACTCGGGCAATGCGAGAAGCAATGCGAGTGCGAGTGCAGCATGCCATGTGTTTTTGTTTTGCCGGAGTAGGCCTTGTCTGTTTTCAAAACACTGTACATGGTTGTTTAATGTTGTTTACAGGGTTTAGAACATAGATAAAGTATGATAGAGTATGCCTTAAATACCAAACTCCGATCCTCAGTCCGGTTAAGGGCCCCCCCGTGCCCCCCCCCCCGTACTAGCTGCGACTCGCAGAACAGCAGCCTAGGTGCCCTTCTCGAGTGCGGCCTCGTGTCAGCGGCGCTTCTTGATTCTGGTACTCTTGGAGTTTGAGGTCCGATGTCTTGAGGGGGACTCTTGGCTTTTGGCGCAGAACGGCGAGCGCTTAACGCGCGGCGTTGTTTGGGCCCCCCATTTTTCCAGGAAAAAGAGAGAGAGAGAGAGACCCTGGGTTTTTAGGTGATGCCGACGCATGGCGACGCGTGGCGACACATGGCGCATGGCGATGCTGAATGGGACGGGGATGGACGGCGTTCCTTTCGATACAATTCTTACGCAAGTGTTCCCAGGTGGCAGAGCAAGAGTTGAGATGCTTCGTTGACGAGGCGGCATCGTTGAACTGCTGGCCGTTCGGTGTTGCGGTATCGTTGAACTGTTCGGTATGAGCTCCCCGAAGCAAGGGAGGGGAGTAGTACACAAAAGATCTCAGTTGGAGACGTGTCCATATCAATAACTTTTTTGTAGGTCTTCATAGGTGATTAGGGAGGCCCCATACCGTGGTTGTGAGGTTGTTTAACTCGTTTGTCACACTAACCGTCACAAAGTCTAGTTCCCAGTATAGTTGCATGTTTGGGTCAACAAAATTGCGCGCCTTTTTTCTCCATGTAAACTAGTTTTCAGGCCCAGTTTCAACTCTATTGTTGGCAATGTTTTTCTGCAGTACCCAAACCTGCATACAGTACCCTGCGCTGCGAGGCCACCTCGTCGGAGAGATTGAGTGTAAAGTGCCTGCTGGCGTTGCTTGGTACAGAGACAGGTTTGGCCCAAAGCATGGCTGCTAGAATCGCTAGAATGAGATGGACTGCCAGCCTGAGCTGCTGCCTTGAATACCAATTTCTTACTTCATGGAACTTCATGGTGCTTGAGTGACATGATTTTGGATTGGAACGCTAGCGTGGATGCCGACATGGTGTTGTCTTGCAGGATGTTGCTTCGCTGAAGCATACAAATCCATCAAATCCATAAACGAGATCCGGGCTTGATATATCTTTATCTTTCCTTCTGAAAGGTTGCGGTTCATCTGCAATTTCGGATTTTATATTCGGCTGTTTCCAACCCAAAAGGTTCAGCGAAGTAACATCTGACTCCATTCATCACAGAACATCTGGCTTTGCAGTCCGAGGCTGTCGAAGATTGCAGCTTCCCAATCCCGCCGAAGGCGCGGGGTCAAGCTCGGGGACCGCACAGTGAGCGGTCGACAGACAGACACGTAGTGGTTGGCTTATGTTGACTTACAGTGGTCTCCAAGTAGATGTCAGAAAGACATCTTTAGGTTTGTGCCATCTACTCTGAAACCACTGTAATTACCTATGTAAGCATTTGCTTGAATCTACATACTTCGTCAGTTTCTATATGTCGCCCTTACTTACGACAGGAAAACAGTCTTCCAAACCCTCTGTTGGTTTGAGCTGGCTTATGGTTCTGTCAACCAAATTAGCGCAATAGTTTATGATCTAATCCATCCTTGCTCGTGTCCGGAATAAACATCTGCGACTGGCGAAGTCCTTTCCTGTCACATGAGGCTTGCCATTCATTGTCTTCAAAGTTACTTGATCCGATCCACCGGAGGGTCTGCCGGAACCTGAGACTCTCACTGAGACTGAACAGTGACTGTAGTGCCAGTAATGTAGACTCTTGATGATATTTCACCCACCCCATATTTAGTATTGACTAAGCCTCTTCATAGGGAGGGTTTGTGAATCAAGAGTCTATATTGCTGGAGTGCTTTTCTCACTCGTGACACTGCTCGCTCACCGAAGGAGACCCATTTCCCGCGTCCTTCGGGGGTGAAGCGGGTCCTCGGAACGCGAAAAAAGGAGTCACCAGATGTGGGTTTGTATTTTAATAGGGGACCCCCCCCTGGCCCAATCAGTAGACTGATCGATTTTCTGAAGCTTCCAGGCTTCACACCCATGTCGTGATCGGTGGAGGCTTCAAGTGGATTTTGAGCCCGACCATTGGAGCATCTGCAAGAGCTGATTTGTTGGGATTGGGTCTCTGCCCCACGAAACAGAACATAGTGTTGCCATCAATTGCTATGGCAAGAACGATAGAACATGTGGAAAAAGGACACTGAGAGGGTCAGACAAACAGATGATCAATTCCCTCCATGGAGCAGCCCCCCTTCTTGGCTTGATGTTCTGAAGACATATAGACAAATACATCTTCAGCAAGCCGTACCAAACACCCAGTTTGTATCACAGACACTGTGTTATAATATGGTTTAATATATATAATATATATATATAGATATGTAAACATATTGCTTGTGCCAACCATGGTTTGGGGGGCAGCATACCCATTGGCAGCTTTCAAGCCAGCTGCCAATCGTTCGAGGACCCAGACTTTGAGCAGATCCTACCGGCCTATCGCCGCTCGAAGCAACCGCACCTGACACTCGCGCGTTCTGGGCGGTTCTGATCCAAGCCTGGTGCAAAGCCATGAAGGATCATTGTCGGGTGCAAGCCTCTGCCTCTGACTAAGATAATACCAAGAAACACACGGATGGCACGTTGTGGGGAACAACCTTCACATGTTTGAGGCAAGGAAGGTTGAAGATGGAACACCAGAGCTGTCCATATATTCGACCAGGATGGGGCTATGATAGATATATGCAGTGTACCTGCATACCCTCCAGTATTGTTCTTGCTGTTTGCCCCATGCGAACTTTCCCTTTCAGGCGAGATCTTGTCCTTGCATGCCTGCCGCAACGACTGCCTGGAGGTCTTTGACGGCCGAATCCTTAGTGAATACTCCGAGGATCCACCGCGCCTTGTTGAGAAGCGCCTTCGAATGATGGGAACGATTGGTACAATGAACCAGGCCACAGTTGCCATTTGCGTATGAGATTTTTACATATTTTTGGAAGTGGTGGGATATTGCCATTGATATCTCAGTTGCAAGTACCTTTTCGCCACATTCCCAAGAAAGCAAAAGTCTACTAGAACACGATGTTCTTGGTTCTTCATTCCGCGCACAAAAGATACTCTACATGTTTTTTATTGCAGCAATCCCGCTTCTCAATTTGGGGAGACTTAACTGCAGCCTTGGAACCAGGCATCCTGAACGTGCTAAAGAGCAAGTCGGTAAATGTATCAGATGAACGTGCCGGGGGCGCTCAGTGCGAGACGGTCTCCCCCACGCTGCCGATTCGTTCAGCCCTTGAGTCTCCAGTAACTTCCGATTGAAAAGAGGGACCAAGTTGCAAGCAAGACAAACACATACAGTATCTTTTTCGTGCTTCTCTACCTGAGAGAAATCACCGCCTGGTCTTCAGACGCACTGACACGAAATGACATGTGATGCTGGCTCGCAACAGCATGGGCGCGGAGCCTGGAAGTGCACTACTTTCTCACTTTCACGTGCCCTCCTCCCCACTGTTCACGCCACTGGCCACCCCCCCCGCGTGTCGTCCTTCTTCAAAGTCTCCCAAAAGGCGACCCCAATCGATTGGCACATCTGTCCGGGTCATCATCCAGTCCGACACAGCGGTTCGAACACCGTTCTCCAGCAAGGAGAAGCCATGCGTCAAGGACCGGGGGTGGAAAACACGTTTGGAAAACGGTGTGGAAGACGTGGACGTGGAAGAGTGTGGGACCGGAAGTCACGATGGAAGCAAGTGGGAGAACATGTTGGCTGTAGCATGGAAGCATCGTATATCATCGTGAAGTAGATATCGGATAGAATATGGGACACTCCAAGGAGCAATGGGAGATTGGTCGCAGTTCATCTACTATCTCGAAGGGAAGCGGGAGAAGCAAGGTTCGCACTCCAAACTCTGAAGAAGACAAGCAGTCCAGGTCATCTGCCGATTCCTTGGTGGGACAGATTTTTGAGGTAGTTTCAAACTTCAGATTCTTGCTGCCAGGATGAGATCCAGTGGCTGGTAGCAACTGCATGGTCTGGGGGCCAACAGGGATCCACTGCCCCGCATAACTGGGGGGCGAAAAGAGAGGACTGCAAGATGTTGGTGTTGGTCCAAAGCAAAGACTGGTAGGTTGATTTCGATCTGAATAAACAGGACCTGGTCCCACCGGTCCGTCTTGGTCCCGTTGGTCTGAAGGAAAGAGAAGACATGAGCCGACGGTCGTGGGCTCCCCCATCCGGGCCCCATCGACTTGAGCCGACGGTCGTGCCGACCCATCGACAGTTCTGTTCCATGAATCAGCAGGATTTGAAGGCAGTTACCTTCGCATTTCGTGTCCATGTGGGGCCATGTGCAACAAATGACTTTTTCTGTGGTTGGTTGTAAGAGATGACGAAGCTCCGCTACGTGCTCATATAGACTAAAGTGACTCTCAGGCCGGGTTCGGTTTCTACAGGGACTGCGAGTTTCTTCCTTATTCTTTAAAGATCCACCGTGGTTGAACCAAGCCCTACAAAAATTGAGAGGACCCACAATTGTGGCGAGAGGTTCTGGACTCCCTATGAGGACAAAACACTCACTCGCTCTGAAGAGATGCAGGCTTAATGCAAATCCCGAGGACCTCTGCAGTTCGGCAAGGGCAAACACGGATTCTGTATGCACCGCCACCTGGGAAGACTCAGTTGCAACTTGCGGTTGGGTATCATTATCATCATCATTCTGCATCGTGCCCTTTGCTGAGGAACAATGGAGCTCACTTCTTTCGCTTGCAGCACTATCGGCTACCTGGCCATTCAAAATCAGAAACGGCCGGAGAAAAGAGCCAAGCGTTCTCCTGCAAAATGTTTGATTCTCTTTTGATCTACCATTAGTTTGCTTGTCATCAAGTTTGACTTTGCTCACATTGTATGCAGTTCACTCAAAATGACCTCTACAAAGTGTTCAACTCTCTTGAAACCAGGGTGAACCAAGTGAGACCGCTGTTCTACTGGTCCGGTCTGAGGTGGGCTGAAGAGTGGATGAAGAAGAGCTTGGCTTTGGCCAAGTTCAGCCCAGGCGCGAAGCGGCGACGAAGAAGCCGAGATGAAGCGCCCTTCACTTGGTAGGAAAGATGAACCTGAATCGCTATCGTCCATGTACGTCCAATGTTATGCAACATCATATCATAGACTCCGTATACTTTGAAAAGACATGATACAAAATGATACAAGTAGACAGACATTTTGTGCATGAGTGGAACTGATTCTAGATCTTCTCTTGTTTGAATCTTGCTAGTGGAAGACATGCGACGGGAGCCGCAGTCGACATCTGGTTCGACAGAGGTCTCCCATCTGAGAAGATGACGGAAGGCTACATGGCCTGCTTGAAACATTGCACGTGAGCCATGCCGACAAATGATTGATGTCGGACACGACCGTCCAGCGCCACGCAGCTGGGAGACGAACGCATCGGTCCCACCCGGGGGTTTTGGGTTTCGGGCGATGCCGAGTGAGACGACAGCATTCCGCGTGCGGCGAGCCAAGCTGCCGCGGTCCGAGCCATGCAGAGTGATGCATGTGCCGAAGCGGTGTTGACTCATGGGAAGCTGACGTGAAAAGAATCACCAATACACCTTGACCACTTATAGACCTTGATGAGTACTACACACGACAACTAGTCTGACACTTCGCATCTGAAACAGAGCAGACTTAGTGCCTCAAATGCGTTCAGCCGAGTTCTTCCTCGATGCAGGGTTGTTGCCTCGTGCCTCGTGGTGAGCAGTTTCCCATGACAGTCTTTGGCTTTTGAAGCAGGCCGTGGGAGTTGGTCTGCGAAAGAGGATGAGTTGACTTCCTAGGCAACTCGCCTATCCTTGTCCGAATGAATTTGCTTCCGGTGCACGAAACCGCCTCGCAGTGACCCGCCAAACCCCGAAAACATCCACCTGCTGCCTCTGGGCGGTTGGCCGACCGTCCGAGCTTTTGGGGAGGAACGTGCTTCTGGCGACGGACGTGGAACGCCTTGCCGCGCAGACGACGGTTCCGGTCCGGGGACCGGGGGAACCGGTCCCTCGCTGTGGGGTCGGTGGGGCGAAGCAGCGAGCATGCTGGAGCCCTGTGACCGATGTGCACCAGCGTGGGGGGCGATCGGGCGCAACCTGATCGCCTCCATGGACCGATCGACGGTCTGACCGAAGGTTCGGCGGTGTCACCGTTCCCATGGGTCGTCGTTGAAGACCGGTGCTGGGCCCTTTCCACCAAGCGATTTCGGTGGGTTCAAGCTCAGATGACAGACGATCACATACGATCACAAGCGAGCTTCCGGGGGGGGTGTTTTCATGAGCAGGAGACAAACGATCAGGTGCAATACCAGAAGGTTTCTTTTTCTCAGTTAGCACACTTTTGGCCAATTGTTTTTGCATTTTGTGAAGGCGTTCTGCATCCACCTTGGCTCACAGGCCATTGATGTTTGGGAACACCACGTTAGCAACCAGCGGCCATGTTTGGGGCCTCGCATGCCCCGCGTTGGTGGGCACCGAAGATAGCTGATGCTGAGCAACAGGGAGGCGGGGCACTCTTTTGGGCAGCGTGGCAGCCACAAAGCTGCGGAGACATCATTCTCTTCGCACGAGCTGCGTCGAAGAGATGATGAGTAGATGAGTACACGGCACAGCCGCGTCAGGTTCACCGTTCGGATGGAGATCGATGTTGACTGACTTGTTTCACCAGGAAGCCAGGGCCTCGTTTTTCAACCACAAGCTCTTGAAAGCTTCAATCATTTGAAGATACTGTATATATATATAAAACAAAATAGACAACATAATATATAGTCAGGCATGTTCGCCCGTAACGGTCGAACAGACGAGCCATGCCGTTGACTTTTCTCTCAGAGGAAGCTTTTACCCGACCAGCCTGAAATCCTGGACGTTCTCTAACTCTCTCTCTCTCTCTCTCTTTCTGCTTGTGTTTCACTCGCCCATTACTGTAAGTTTCCAATCATGAAGCCTGTGCCCTTCTGCGTCCAAGCCTAGTAGCTTTCTGTCGTTTCCTGTTGGTCTCCTACTTACCCGGGTACTTGAGGCTTCCTTAAGCCTCCTGCTACTCCTGCCCACGTCCCCAGCCCTTTAGAAACACGCAGAACACAAGAAACAAAAGACACAACTGGATGCTTCAGGCATCTGCGCCCAGGACTTGCCACCCGAGCTGAAAGCAATCGGAGCCTGAAAGCAGGAGCCAAGCCACAGTTGAATGACTTGAGCGATTGACTTGCATCCCCACAAAAAGTGAAGACACGTCGTTTGAAAGGAGCCCTCTGCTATGAACTCAACATATGCATACATACCAGGAGTCACAAGGTGGTTGTTAGTCTCTAAGTGAGTGGATAATGCGCACCCCTATTCTCCAATAGGCACCCCTGTGACTGCAGGTATGCATTTTCAAAAGGTTTCTTGCCTACTTACAGCCGACCAATGCAACTTCTTCAGGGTCTTGTGCACATTTGGGAATGACGTTGCACCGCGGAGGAGCAGCAGCAGCAACCTTGTGTTATTACGAGGTCAGGAGCTGCGAACATCAGGCTGAGAAGCAGCAAGAAATCACCACCGGGTTGAAATTGCTTTTGGGTTCGCGGGGTACAGGAGAAAGGACCGCGAATCGCAAAAAACTCGTCCAAACGGAGGCGTTTCAGCATGCGGCACTAAAACTGAAGAGGGCACCCACTCCCAGCATGGCAAACATCCTACAGTGAAGAAAGACACATTCGAACTCTTCTGTTTGAGACGCGAACGCATCTGCATTTTGTTTTTGGGTGGATGCCAGGACTGCAAGAGGGGTGGCATACCTGAAGAGGCGGGCTACAGA